TGCAATGCATTCATAAATCGAAATCGTGTGTAGAGAACAAGGAGTTGCTTTGTGTTTAGATGCTGTCTGAAGCAATACACATTTTGTGATATGAAAGCCAGGTATCTTAAAATATCTTCAAAACATCAAGTAATTGCCCATAATTCAAGGGTTTTTCTGCAAACACAAATGAATGGAAGGAATGCAAACTTTCAATTAATAAAGTTAACAACAGGGGGAGCATAGTTAAACACATCTGCAGTGAGACTGTGAACCCAGGGTTGTATCCCTATGGAGTAGTTCTCAGGTTCTTCCAATCTAAACTTAAGCAAAAAGATTTCCTTTTCTGTCGTGGAGGAAACTTTTTATTAAGCATACAACCTATATTTTTTCACAACTTTATCTGATTTTTATAATAAGGCTCATCCTTGTTGGATAAATGGAAATATTACAGTGTTGAGTTGCGTAACTTTTGTTACTAAGCCTTGAAGGACAGTAAAAAATGTGCTATGGGAGTTAAGTTTGTAGTTGTTGTATGGTTGTAAAGATAAACTTCTGGTTTAAGCAATATGTAAGTTGATGGAAAGTCATGTTCCTGAGTATACAAACAGAAGGCATTGCTAATTAGAGAATAGATGAAGTTGACAAAAATAATTGATTTTAATGCAAGTCTGTGAGAAGCAGTTGAAATGTCAAGAATCACGCCAGTGTCATGTTGCTGCATGCCAGAAATAGTAGAGGCAAATGCACTTAAGTTAGTTAATGGGAAGGAGAACCTAAAATTTTAGAAACTAAGGAAAAAACAAAGGGCTTTCTCTATTGCAGCAGCAATATTGATGGAAAGAGAAAAAAATTATTTAGCTTCTAAATACTGTTGAGTAACTAGGTAGGAATGTTTTTTCACAGTTGTAAGGGTCTTACAAGTCTGAATCTAATGTGGGGAAGGAGCTTATGAAAAGAGATTAGAAGCAGTGCTCTATTTTTATTTTTTTAACCACTTCTTTAGCAGCTCACCCAGGTAAACTAGATTTTTTTAATTTTTTTTTTTTTCAGAACAGTGTCCATAGTCTTGGCTAGTGAAACAGTTCCGTAGTTTTCTCCATTCCTTTGGCTTTTTCTATCACGCTTGCATTGCATATCTTGCAATGTGTTATGTCACCTATTTTCTAGTATTCATTTTGTCATCAAGAGAGGAAGCTTAGGTATATTTGATAAAATGAGGAGCATTAGGCAATCTATTATTCTTTTGAATGGAAAAATATTGTTGCCTCTAAGGTGTAGAAAGCTTTCTCATTTACTTAGGAATCCAATTTTCTGGTATGGACATAGGAAATGTAGGAGATCTGGGGTGAGAAGAAAGGGAGATTTGCCTTGGGTTTTCTGCATATTAATTGAATCCGATACTACTTTTTTCTAACATCCCATTCAGGCTGCATTTCTGACAGTAAAGTCAGGTTTTGATTCGGGGGCAGGAGGTTTGCTTGTTTTGTAAAATTAGCCTCTGAGACTTACTCCAGCTGACATTTCTTCCAGAAACTACCCAAATGTTGTACAATAGGCCAAGGCAGTAGAGAGAGGACAGCTTTTGCTTTTGATCTCCGTTATAATACAATGCCTGTGTAAGGAAAAAACAAACTGGTATTTTGAGGTCACCATACTGTCACTTAGAAACTTGTAACCTGTTTGACATTACTAGGATTACTGTTTTTTTCCACACTGAATAGCTCTTCCATATAGTATTGCCACTTTGTTTTGATTTACTTCTCATGTCTTGTTTACTTTCCATATTTGAGCTGGTCTGGAGACTTTGAAAAATGTGTGTAACTTTTGGCAGCTCCTAGGCAGGTGAGCTGATATGTGAAGTCAGTCAGCGTTGACATTAAGCTGTGCTATTGACAGGCCTCTAGCATTTAACTTCAGGATTTCATTATCAGGCCAAGAACTTGGCCAGCGTTGATACATTGGGATGGACACATTTCATGTCTGAAATTTGGTTCATCTATTGGCTGGTTTGGCAGCTGGGTGGACCAAGACCATAATTTCTGTTCTATGTACACACAAGTACACAGTGAAAGCTTTTCATGAAAGTACAACAGCGTGGTTAACTCGGTTGTCAGGCGAGATCTTTCTTTCTGTCAGATGTTGCCGTAAATGCCAGCACGGCTGTCGAACCAAGGCAACCAAAATTATGGAATACTTGAACAGGAATTACTTTCTATGTATTGGTTTGTCTGAAGTACAGCTCCAGCATGCCCATATACTATGTCATTTGTATGCTTGTATCATATATATATATACACCTAATAATCTATATATGTGTGTATATGTATGTATACATACGAGGTAGCTGTATCTACCAAGACCATTGTGTCGTAATACTGCTACTAACTGCAACGGTAACAGCCTTTGGTACATCAGTAGTCTTCAGGGAGTGCTATCAAAATAGTAACATTCATTCTGTTTGCACAGTTCTTACTGGACTTAGAATCACAGAATCTTAAGGTTGGAAAAGACCTCTAAGATCATCAAGTCCAACTGTCGACCCAACACCACCATGTCTACTAAACCGTGTCCTGAAGTGCCACATCTACATGTTTTTTTAACGCCTCCAGGGATGGTGACTCCACCACCTCTCTGGGCAGCCTGTTCCGATGCCTGCGGTGAAGAAATTTTTCCTAACATCTAATCTAAACCTTCCCTGACACTAGTTGAGACTGTTTCCTCTTGTCCTTTCACTAGTTACTTGGGAGAAGAGACCCACCTCACTACAACCTCCTTTCAGGTAGTTGTAGAGAACAATAAGGTCTCCCCTCAGCCTCCTCCAGGCTAAACAACCCCAGTTCCCTCAGCTGCTCCTCATAAGACTTGTGCTCCAGTCCCTTTACCAGCTTTGTTGCCCTTCTTTGGACATGCTCCAGCACCTCAGTGTCCTTTTTGTACTGAGAGGCCCAAAACTGAACACAGTGCTCGAGGTGCAGCCTCACCAGAGTGGAGTACAGAGGCACAATCATTTCCCTACTCCTGGCCACACTATTCCTGATACAAGCCAGGATGTTGTTAGCCTTCTTGGCCACCTGGGCCCACTGCTGGCTCATGTTCAGCCGGTTGTCAACCAGCACACACAGGTCCTTTTCCACCAGGCAAATGGTATCTGAATCATTAATCATGTCCCATGACATTAGATCAAACTGGAGTACAGAGGCACAATCACTTCCCTACTCCTGGCCACACTATTCCTGATACAAGCCAGGATGTTGTTAGCCTTCTTGGCCACCTGGGCCCACTGCTGGCTCATGTTCAGCCGGTTGTCAACCAGCACACACAGGTCCTTTTCCACCAGGCAAATGGTATCTGAATCATTAATCATGTCCCATGACATTAGATCAAACTTCTGTCTTTCCCTGAGAATTTTAACAGCTTGTTAAACCCCAGGTTAACACCACTTACCTCAGGAAGTTAGCTTAAGCTGGAATGCAGAAGCTTGTGTGTCTGAGCATGAAACCATCTCTGTACCAGTGATCTTTGTCAGCTACGTTTGCCTACCTATGACTGCCAGGAATGTTGTGTCCTACTGTCCTGCCAGTTCTGGTACTGAACAGTACTACCACAATCTCATGTACATCTTTGCCTCTTCCAAACCAGCACCATTGATTGCTGAAACCACCAGCTTTTTAACTGTCATCAGGGTGACCATTGTTTATTATACCTCACAGAGGCAACGTAATTGTGCTAGTGGGAAGTATGGTTTATGTATATATGATAACAATCCACTTTCTTGTCACCGATGCCATCGTCTACTACTAGTGGACTTCGGTGAATGGGGGTGAACTGGTGAAAATAAACATAAGGTTGGTGTCATTGCTTGCATTTTAGAGGCAGATAGGTTAAAGGAAGTTAGGATTTTATCTTGGGCACAGCCAAAAAGACAGGTTTTGCTAGGTTCAAATCATGTTTGCTAAATGGATTCTTGAGCTGTTATAAACTTTTTTCATTAACGAAAACTTAAATTAACACCTATAAATATGATATGAAAGCTTCATTAAAATACAAAGTATGACTCAAGTGAACATTAGAAGTGGTGTATGGAACTGATCAAACACTGGAGATTGTGTAAATGTATTGATTTCATTGGGAGAGAGTAAGATCGTGGGTTTGTATTGTAGTTAGCTGATCTGATGGTTGCCTTTTGGAGTAGGAGTTCTCTTCTGTCACCCACTGTGCAGCCCTGCTTTTTTCTTTGTGCTCACTCTAAAGCAGTCATTGGTTGATTCAATGAGGTAAATGGTCAAAATACTGTAACATTTGAGTTCCCTGAGCCTGCCCACCATCAGTTTTTATATTGCAGTTTAGTTTCTTATTTTTGAGAAAGAATATGAATGTTGGGAAGGAATGTAAATAGCAACTGATTTTTAGAGGATAAACTGGGATTGAGTGATAGGGTGAAGACATGTATACATATAAAACCAACAGGTTAAGACACTGGAGCAACAGGAGTGACAAAAGAAGGGGTGTGTAGCAGTAAATGAGAGTACCTTAAGCTGGTATTCTTACGGGGGGGGGGAAATTGTGTGAAGAGGATGATAGTGTTGATAATATCAATTAACAATGCTCAATCTGTAGGCTATGGGCAGATGTGGCCCACTCACATAATTCATCTGATCATTGCTTACCTTCTTGCTGGGCAAACAGACAGCAGATTGCATAGTAAATGTGGTGTTCTTGAGAGATGGCAGCCACTGTCATCCTCAAACTGTTGTCTTTCTGGAGGCTTTCAACTCATCACATTATCTTGTTGAAGATGAGTACATGAATGTGGATCTGTTTAGGAAACATTTCCCACCGGTTTTAGGATTCTTTTCCCAAACACTTCCTTTTGTTTATAATTTTCAACAACTTCCAGACCTTGGGAAAGCATTTGATTCCAGTCCAGTTTGAACATAATCACTCTGGATTGATTTTGAGATGTTGGAAATGTCATGAGATTCATATTAAAAACTTAGTATGATATCTTCATTCATAAGCTTTTTGATTCTATGAAATGAGAAGTATTCCATTTATTTCTGTTCTATAGGAATATATATTTACAAGATTGTATACTTACTGTTAATGAACAGTTCAATTAAGTATTTTGTGACTTTTTGTCTAAATCTAAGATACAGATACATTACATTTGAATGATAGTTGTTTACACTCTAGTAATACTCACTATTTTAGCAGGATTTCAGGTAGCAAGGTAGCTCAAACTCCTTTCTGCCACTTTATTATAGTAGGGAAAATATTCTAGCATGGTCTCCAGATCTGATTTAGCAAGGCTTGTATATTCATGAAGGGATTCATGAAGTTCAGAGATTTTTATGTTCTTGGAGAATAGCCTGCCAGATATCTTCCTCTTCCCTCCTTTTTAATGAGGAAGATTCAGATCAGACATATTTTTTTTGGTCACTTCTATTGCAATATGACATCGGTTGAAAAACTCTCGTAATCAGTCTCTGGTTTTGGGAACTTTCTAGATTATAAAATACTAAGTCCTGTATTTCTAGGGTCTTGAACGGCCTTTCCTTGTTTAGGTACTTGGAGGGTCCTGTTTTGAAGCTAAGTAAACTTTTCTAGAAGGTTTATACCGTGTTAACAGTCAAGAAGATGTGCAGTTGACTGTACTGAACTTTTCTACTGTTTAGGAAACTGCAGACATAGGTAAATATTAGAAAATTAATGGAAGGAGGACAGTCTGGAAAAAGAACACTGGATGGAGTTGAAGGCATAGCAGAGACTATGCTTTGTGAGTGGAGAGACCTCAGGCTAGATTTTGTAAGTCAGACTGATGGAGCTGAAAAGTGGTTCACCATGTGGCCTCATAAAATAACATTAATGTAAGAATCAAACCTCTGTTCCATCTCTACTATTGTTTTCTTACCATCTTTACTTAGCAGGCAGTGTTTCTTTCCTCACTTGCACAACTTTTAATTGGGGTGAAAACCTCATCAAACTTCATGTGGGTGCAGTAATGGGGTTATGCATGAGAGGGTAGGAGGGGCAGTGTTCATAAAACACGTGCAGGATATGGTTGAGTACAGAGACTATCCCTACAGTCTTCTTTTGGAAAACATAGGAGGTGAGACAGAATGCTTGCAAAGTGTTGACCCTTTCATTGATTTCTGGATAGCAGAATGAAACTTAAAAGGAAAAATGTATTGGAGTGTTTTATGTAGACCAAACAGTCAAACCAAACTGGCAAGTTTAGCTTTTAATGCCCCCCCCCCCCCTTTTTTTTTTTTAAACAGTCTTCAGCAAATACTCGCAAACACTTGACTAGCTAGAGCAAATGCTATGATGAAAATCCTTGAATGGACTTTTCTTGGCAGATATCCTATTATTTGAGCAGCTTAATATGTTCTATGTTTTAAACAGAAATTCGATTTGATTATAAAGGGTTAGGGTGGTTTATAAAGGTTATTTTTTGCTTCCTGTCATAATTCTTTCTCTAATAATCTTTGGTTTTGGCAGCCTGTAATCCTCATGTTTTAAAATCTGTCTCATGTTGAACTAGTGGGGGAAGGGGAGAATAAAAAATTTGGACAGTAAAGCTAGCAGGAAAATTCAAAATCCTATAGGTACTAATAGTTTTTAAATGGGTTAGCGGTAGGCTGGGTTTAGGCAGGTGTCTTTGCTGTTCCACAAGGATGTCTTCTGAATCAATCGGGTTATTTCCTGTTTAATGTGTAGCTGTACATGTGGTGCAGAATTCCCTCCTTAATTTTTGAAAATTCCGTTTTTCCAAGCCCTTTGAGGTACATTTGTGCTGACGTTTAGGGCTAATCCTGAGGGCTCCTTTCTACTTAGCAGATTCATTAAAGCCGCTGCTGTTTTCGGAGCATGTGGAGCCTGGACCCTGTAGCAGGGCATGTGCAGATGTTTTTAACTCCTTCAGCAAAACTTCTTATAACCATCAGTCTTACCACTTGCTTGGAGAACAAAGTGAACTTAGGAAAAGTATTAGAACAAGTACTGCTGTAGTCTTTCTGTGCTTTACGTCTGCAGTAAATTTTATAGTATGTCCAACAGGTAGATACTATTTCCAGCCCCATAGCTGAGCAAGCTTGTGATCTTTATCTGAGCTGTTGCTGAGAATCAAGCTGAGGTTATTTTAATGTGGGTAGCCAGTGAGTCTGGGCTTGAGAGGTACCATGAAATTGACCCTAATTCTGCACCACACCTTACATAAGTTGAAGCTGCCTGAAGAATGAATTTAAGGATATAGATACAAACAAAATAGATCAGCTTTGGTATTTCTCAACTAACTGCTGCTTTCCCAGGGTAAAAGTTCCTTTGGCATATGGAGAATGAAATGCTGCCTATACTTCAAAAGATCTTGCTATTAAGTGAGGCAATATCCCTGTGTTTTAGAAAGAGAAATGGCCGATTTTAAACAGGGAATAACTGTTTGTACATGCGTGTTTATAAAAGCAGGAAACAGTATTTAAAATGCCTATCTGCTATGAGAGACCCAAGTCCAATACCATACGCTACTTTTTAAAGAGCCCATCTAATATAAATGACTGGGGTATGTGGACTGTAATGATAATTACTTCCGGGTGTTACAATGCTTATCGTATAACTTTCTATGGCAATTGATTTATATGGGTTATGTTAGTTTGTTAGGTAAAGAACATGTTGGAGTTCTGTTCAGCTGATAATCCATGAAGACAGAATTGCAAAACACCTTTTCAAAACTTCTCTCACTTGAAACAAATGAAAAAACACCTTGGGAAACTACATTGCAACTGAGGATGCAAGTTTGGTTTGATTATTGATTTTTTGGTGGTGTTAATGGAATTGCTGTTTATCTTCTAGACTGTTTTACACAGTATTATTTACATTTATTTAAAAAGAGTGGCTCACTGTATGCATGGGCACCATCTATCCTGTTTGAATGGTAAATGGATTTTGCAGAAGGGAAAAATAGCATGTAATTATGTAATTTTAAACTGATCTAGCAAACATGGCTGGGCAGCCTACATTTTGTGAGTTCTTTGCTTTATTTTTTTCAGTTTCTGCATTCATTTTTTGCGGTTGTTATACTATAAATGGTAGCCAACTTCTTTAACTCCAAGGAGTGTGATTTTATTTATTTTTATTCCAATCTTCCCCGTAGATGGATATTTTAAGGAAATCTAGGTATAGAAAGCACTGGTTTGAGGGTGCAGCTGACAGGGAAGACCACATGTTGAACAAAATACTTGTGTGCTATAGCCAGAGGATTTGAAAATACAGGAATGCATTTTCTTGATGCAGAAGCAAAACATAACAAAACAAGCCTACTTGTCCTGAATATTTGCTTTATGTTTATCCAGCTTTTTTTTTTTTCCTGTAGTCTATTGCATATGTCTAATGTGCTTCCTTCCTACACTAAACTTATACCAAGCCGCCTTTGGAATTTCAGTTGAGTAACTTAGAATTTCATAAATATTGTTTGGAATGTGTATCTTGAAAAAGGCAGTTTCATCTTCATGGTTGAAATATTTTTATCATTTGTGTATTAAAGGCCTTTAAAATGCCTTTAATTCTTTCTCTGGCAATAGATAAAATGCCTTAAAGTTGCAATTCTTCTAATTTAGAAAGTCAGTGAAACAAAATTGGAGCTTTGGCATTATTGTATTGATGTTAACAATGGAAATAAATAGGCATTTCTTTGACTCGCTTTACTGTAGAACAAGAGTAATGAAAGCCAATGCAGTGTTT